GAAAGCAGTCAGCTAGAGTGGATTCTCTACAGCTACAGAAAGAAGCAGAAAGGAAAAAGAATACAGCCTTGGCTTTTGATCTAAAAATCAAGTGCAATTTTTTTTTTTTTTTTTTTTTTTTAAAGCAGGCATTAACCTAACTTAAAAAAAGAGCTAGTTATAAAGTTACAAAATGATTAGGTAGAAGTAACTCATTAGCATTGATAAAATGCCAAACTGTAGCTGATGATACAAGAAAAAAAAATCAGCAACAGTCTTGCAGCCAAATAATTGCCTCTTAATTTATTATATATTAAAATTGTAATCTTTTTACGTATTAAAACATTTTAAGACTAAATTATGACCAGCAAATATTTAACTTGTAAATATAATTTGTAACAATTTTCTGGTGTTATTCTTTCAGAAAAAAATCTGACTTTTATTGCAATAAGGTTTGGGATCAGGTTCCGGACAACACAAGGACAGCCTTGTCCAAATCTAACTATTAATGGCATTATTGAATTCAACCAGATGTTTCACATGGATAAAATTAAGTACATGAATAAATCACGATCCAAGCGCACACTTAAATTTGACAGAAGATAAGGAAAGGTGAAACAAAAAGTAATGACGACAGTTAACGAAAAACTATGTATCCCTCATTGTTAATATAACTTGAAATTTAAAAAATCAAAATGTAATAGGCCTGTTAAGGGATCACTCTGCTGACAGACAAATGAGCAGGGTGTTTCTCACATCCTATTGCCTACCAGCTTCTGTCTGGCCAAGTTTTAGCCAGCCAACCTTTTTATGGCTTCCCAAAGGTAATTAAGTAAGAGATAAATATACTCTCTGTACAAAATATGGCTAATGAACATAATTTCTATTAATAAGGTTAGAACTTCCAAGTATTATCCTAAAGGATAATCCTTTATGGAAAGAATGCAAGTGAAAGGTAGCATGCATGATTTAAAATGCAGTACACACTTGTGTAACTTTTAAAATTGCAAGACCATTTGCACCTAATCAGCTGAAGAAAAAAATATCGTATTTTAAGAAAAGAGGGAAGACATTAGCAAACTAAACTATTTCTAACCAGGAAAAATTATTTTTAAAGGAATATTTCAGCTATAAGCAAGTCCTTCCCACCAAAGTATTAACCTCTGGGAACAGGAATTTCTATTTAAACACGAGTCTCGGCCAATAATTACAATTGTACTGCTATAATAATTCATCTAAATAGAGTCAAGAATTAACTCGAAGTGTCTCTGGTGCGTTGCTGTTGCAGTAAGTTTACCTGGAAACACAGACCGAGACGACGGCTAGCTCTGGATAAAGGTGGCCAGGGAAAGATGCCGAGCATGCAGTATGCACTCCCTCTACTGGGCACTGACATTATCCCGGGCAGGCAGAGAAAGAAGGATATGCTCGGCCGTCCAGGAGTTACCGTGAAATAAAAGCCTTTTTATAGCTGCTGCTCCCTGTCCCCAGATGCAGCTAAAACTCAGTTTCACAGAAAAACGGATTTCAAAACTCTTGTTTTTACTTTCAAAATACATTTCCTACCAGAAAGCAACCACAGCCCAAACCAGTATTTAACTAGAGTGAACATAGCTTGTGTAAGCACACAAAACCTCCTTTGCCTTTGACCAACACGTTAAGACTGTCCTTTCTAGTCCATTCCCCACCCCTTTGAAAAAATAAGGAAGAAATGAAATGTCTTGATGACTTCTGACCTGCTGGGGGCACAGCAACGGGAAGAAGGAACACAGTCTGGGCAGCTGGGATGTGCGAACATTTATGAAGTCTGCAGCAAGGGATTTGTTCCCAGATAGCCAAAGGATAACCTTTGTTGTTCTTTTCCCTCTCCTCCCACAGCTCCCGAGAGGTAAGAGCAGAAAGGTGCCATAGCCTACTTGTCTTGGCAGGGTTTAAGTGTCACATAAAAATTATGGCCCCCCTTATAATTAAGGCTTTCTGACGGTTTGAGTTATTCACTATCACAGAGGGAAAAAGAAAGAGGTGGTTATATCTCATGTCATTATAAACCATTTCAAGGCAAAGTGTTTCACCATCCAAAGTTCTGTGCTTTCCTTCAAGTGACTTTGTGTAAGAAGTTCTGTAAACCTACAGAAAGTTCTCCTGTAGTCCGAAGAGCAGTGGGGCTTTTCAATTTTTCAGTAAAGACAAAGGCAAAAAAACTTCAGAGAAAATAATTTGTGCTAATTTTCTAACATGTTCTGATTGCCTAAGGATGCTGCCTTGCAGACGAGTGCTCCATGACCTGGAAAATGAAGTGAGAAATAATGGAAAGCATAGACATAAGAGTGAGGATTGCCAAAAGCAGACACCTTCCTGCATCAATCAAATGGCTCTCCCGTGAAGGCAGGCCAGGTAACCGCCAGCTTCTTCCTCTCAATATAATTTACATCCAGTGACATCACTGATATATTCATATTGAACCATAATATCAAGAATAACTCCAAATACACACACCTTATTTGCATCTCAGCCATGTGCACGTATAATTGCTCAGCTAAACAAAAGCACCAACGACGTGTGGCAATGGTAAGGGACTCCAGCACCTTCCCCCTTTTAAGGGCAATTTAAATCTCTGCAGGATTGAAAGGTATAGTAAAGTTCATAGTAACAAATCTCCAGTTTCACTAAACCCTTCCCTTTATCAACTTTCTTGATCTCATCTTGAGCATGCGTAAAGCTTTCACTCCTAGATCCCCAGATAGAACAGAAACAAAGCACAGAATAGAACAGATGAAAAGGGGGGAAATTAGAGACCACAGAAGCATGGAGAATGAGCACAGAGGGGCAAGCCCAAGCTCCCAAGTCCTTATCATTCTGTTCTACATTTGCTAATGAAACAAAACTGCTTTCTCCCTGAAGAGAAGACTTGTCTGTGGTGCAGGATCATAAGATACACAAATTCACCTTGACGTTCTCCAGCCAACAATACAGGTACCTCAGACCGCAGTCAGTAGCTGCCAGGGAAACTGCTGTCATATCCAACTGTAGAGATGCCACAGACCAACCTCAAGCTAGACAGTTTACACAGGACCCTCTGCGCTCCGACATTTTATATACATCCTCTCTCTCTGCTCACTAAGTGCCCCCCTTTCTAGGTGTGCTCATCTCCGCACACGAGCAGGTAACAGCGCTCACTGACTCAAATAACACCCGTAACGCTCTGAGCTCTGTCGGGAGCCAGCGCTTTGAAGGACAGACTACCAGTACTTCTTCTCTTGGATCTAAAGATACAGAAGAGAGCAAAACTTTGGCATGGCAAGAACTGTAGTTCCCGTGATACAGGGATGTACAGACAGAAGCAACAATACATAACACCAGCAGCAATTTGAATTACATCGAACTGAATTAAAGAGGAGCTGTATGTAGTGTTTGATATGCTGACATGGAAATATTTGACAGATGGGGACTTAATAATCACGGTCTAAGAAATGTGTTTATTTTGTTCTATTGGACTCTCATTTTACTGTGTTTTTACATTTCAACAAAGTCATTTGACATGGGAATAAAAGATAATTTATACAGTTTCCTTCTACAGTACAAAGCACTTTGTGTTTAGGTGATAAATTTAAAGTAACTCAGCACTAACACTGAATTTGGGTATTTTCCCCTGGAGAAAAACCCTCGGAATAATTATATATTGTTTTCAATGCTGAAGTTAATACCTCAGTCTGCACTGCTTCATTTTGAATGTATTCTTTGTGAGCACTGCTATGTATTTTCCTTTTTTTTTTTTCTCCTTCTAACAATGGAATTTATTAGCTTTCAAACCTTACACAGATAGCATTGATCAATCTCCAGAAGCAGTAACAATACCACTTTAAACATATACACATGCACGCACACACAAAAATCAAGGCTTGAATGTCCTTTATATCTTGCAAGAAATATAGCAACCAATATTCCATGCACAGGTGCAGCAAATGAAGTCCTGTCAAGCAAATGGCAGGAATGACAGCAGATGTCTGGATTCCTTCATAGCTGGTTGCATAAAGGTAGCACACATATTTCACTGGAGAAAAAAACCCTCTGACAAGACAGTCTTTCAGTACTTCTCATTCAGAGTTGGCATTTTTGACTGGTGTGGTACATCAGTATGTATTAAGATGATGAACCAAATTAATCTTGATAAAGCTTCATTCGCACAATGGAAGCAAAGTCTACGACAGTCATGGTTAAACGAGGCTACCACACAATTTAGTCCAAGGTATAATGTCTGGATCAAACTCTCACAATCCAGTCATAAACCAGACTCTACTCTGGATCCTGACCCAAAACACTTATTTTCATGTCAAACTATACAGTAGTTTCGTTTGATCGCAGCCAACAGAAACGAGTATCATGCAGCTCTGCTTTTTAGCTACATAAACAAGCCACGGGCTCTTTTTGGATCTGAATAAAGTATTTCATCTTTCAGCCTCCACTTATGCACAAGTTCTACCGATTTCACCAAAGCTGTCATAGGTAGCTAACCTTTGTGAAGTATTTTGACACTTTAAAGCTTTATATAACAACTAATCATCTGAAGACACCCTTAATCACATTACACACTAGAGAGTAAATACTCCAAAGCAGAGATGCTACTTTCTGGAATTGTGAGACAATAGCATAGTTTTGCAAGTTGTAAAAGAACACGAGTAATACAGTGTTTACTGAGAAATACGCACAAAAGAAGCCGGGCACATAACAGTGTTACACAAGAAGAAACTAAGTAAATACAATCTGAGCCTAACCACTTCTCTACCCTAAACGACAGCGCTGCCTTACATGTTCTGTCTAATAACCAGGCCCCAGCACACTGCACAGGTATTTACTGCAACTTCCTTGAGTGAAGCTACAATCAGCAGAATTAATGTACTTATCAATAAAACTTGTGTTGAACAGTTTGCCTGATTAAGGCTGAAGAGAAAGTATGTTTCTCGTATACATGCTAAGCATTACTAATGGTCCTCTCCAGTAATGCAGAATTTTAAGAAACTCACCACTTTTCTTCTTCTCTCTTTAAAGGAAATATTCATTTCCTTGTATTTCTTCATAACAGTCTCCAATTTATTCTTGAGATCAATGGCACATCTTAGCCGATCATCATTTATTCCTGCTCTGGTAAATAACTGCAAAGCAAGAAATCAACATTCTTTTTTTTTTTTATAGACATCTGAGCCAAAACATTTTTGGTTTCCCTTCATAATTAATGAAACAACATTGTCACAAATTCCTTTATTTTACAAGTAACAATTAGCGAAGCCACTTCTTTTGTCTCGAATATAAAAGCTAATAGCAACTACTAAAGACAAACAAAGAATGAAGAGCTGCTATAAACGCCTCCCGAGAGCACCCTTCTATAGGGCAAATTCCATGCAGGAGGCTCCTGAGCAGTAGTATCAATTGACTTGACAGAAAGGTCATGTTGTTTTTCTGATACAGACACATCTGACAAAAACGAGCTGTGTTTTACTTTAACCCTTTGCAAAGAAGCCCCATTTTACTACATCTTTAAAAAAAAAAAAAGTATGGCTGTAGGTAGCGTACCTAATGCTAAGAGCCACCAAACAAGTCACGTAGCTCCTGGGGTTTCCTTTTGTCCACCTCTACTGAAGGAGAAAGCTTTTCTAGTTGCACCAATGTTTCTTCAGCCTTAACTTCCTTTTTTGCTCATTCTCCCTCAAGATTTACTGTACCCAGTCCTTGCTTCTCCATCTTTTTATGAAAAATATGAAAAAAAAGAGTCTCTTTATCCCACCTGAATCCAGGACTGCACAGAAGGCCAGAACTTATTTCTGAGAAGTCTGTGAGAATCCATGACACTGTTTATTATGGCAGTATTATCTTCATTCTCATGCACTTTTATATCTGCTCAAAACAGGGGGAAGAAAAAGAGTTAGTGCACAATGTCTGTAGTATCTTCACTACAGGAGCTAAAGAAGCTAAGCAGAAGAAGTAGACGTGAACCTTTCTAAAATATTTGATTGCTTCAGGGCAAGTTACAAACATCACGATGTTTCTCTGCTCAGTGTTGATTATTCTACCATTACGCACACACTCAAAAAAGATGAAAAGCTTTCAGCCCAGTGATGACAGAAAGAGTTAATTCATTACTACTAAGGAACTGCCAAAAAAACCCGACAGACAAGTGCGGTCTTACTACTTACATTACATTTTGTCCCATGTTCAGATGAACTGGGCCCCATTGTACCAGTTTCTACGTATTCAATATAAAACGACCCCTGCCCCAGTGGCAATAGGGACTTGATCGCCAGAGAAGCCAAGCATGCCACTATCCAAGTAAAAATGGTAGTTTTCACCCGTTGGTCATTCATAAGCCCCACGGAAACACTTCCAATTCTGTTGTCTGCAAGCCCAGAGGCAGATACCTGTCTTAGTGCTGTTTGCACATGACATTCCATTAGGACGGTATCTGTAGGGGACTCCACTGAGACTATGAAAACACAAATGGTTCTAATTTTTCAAGGGGTAACTCACACCAGCAGAGTTATATAAAAAAGGTATAATCATAATTCTTAAAGACTTCCTAGCAAAACTACTTACTACTTCTTGCAAGTTGTCAGTAGCAAGGAGAAAAAAAAAAAAAGTTTAAAAAACACTCAGTTGCAAGATTTTTAAATGAGCAGCTTATACCCCAGCTATAGAGAGAAAGAAAGAGGAGAGTAGTGAAGTGTATTGAAAAGAAAATTATATATGGTAAACAGATCAGGGTTTTTTTAAACACAGGAAACTCATCTTATAAGTACTAGGAAGTGCTGTAAAGTGGTTACAACAACTAATACAAAAGTTCAGTCTTGGAAGGTAATTAATAAAATCTGTTAATCACATGCAAGGACACCCAAACATAAGAACGGTTACCAGATGAATCAAAAATAGAAAAGGAGTCCAAAATAATCAAAGTGGTATCCAGGAATCTCAAAGCAAAATGGTGTCCAGGAACCCCAGCATTTAAGTCACCTGAAAACAAAACCCAAACCCAACTACAAAGCTCTTCAGACAAAGGCTGCCACCAGCTGTATGTGAAAAATTTTTCCAGGTACCTGTGGAGATTTCAAGGTCTAGAGTATATTTATGTGAAATAAGCCCATGGTTCCTAATAAAAGTCTGGTAATCATCATCATCGTTGAGAGAAGGGACACCAGATGGAACTTCTGCGCATGCGCCTCCATCTAATTCTTTTTGCTCAGGCTTCTGTTTCTCATCTATCTCTTTGATTTTATCCGTTCTAACACACTGAGAAACTGGAAGAACATCCTTGCTGCAGCATGGCTGTTCATCATCCACGCATCCAACACAGGACTGGTTAACTTCCACCTGGGAGGACAAGGCGGTTGCGGGTCTATCCTCAGTAGCAGACATTGGTTTGTTGGGTTCCAGTTCCGTGTCATTCACATCGAAGTCGAAAGGATCTGGCATCAGAAGCTGGAAACAGTTTTCCATCTCTGTCACTGTGCTGGTAATCTCTTGGGACATTTCTATCAAAACACAATTGGTTTAGAACATTGTTAAATACTGTAAAACACTAACATCTCCAGAGCAGACGTTTACAAAACAAATATAACTGCCAAAGGGGTAATCCATTTATCCAGTAATCAGCAATAATTTAGCCATATAGATCTCTCTCCGCTGCCAGAGTTGTCTCTATAAAATCGACTTTCCTAAAGCAGGAAGTCTAGAATTTCCTGAGCAAGAAATCTAATCAGTGTTCCTCCTTTCCCCATCCTCTCTAAAATTCCACTACGCAAAGATGATGCAAGCACTTCACAGAATTGGAAGGAGAACAAGGTTCAGGGAGGACTTTCTTAGTGATGTTGGTGGGTGTCATTCTACAGCCATCAATGTTATAGTTCCTTGTAGGTGCTGCCATGAATATAAGCTATTGCTCAAAACTGTGCTACCAATAAAAGCAACTAAGATGGTTAAATCTCTTTAAAATTCCACCCTCGTGTGTGCAGAATAAATGCAGACACAACTGGATGCATTGTATATACCAAAGTAATTTAATTAAATAACACTTTAAGTGCAACATAATATACTTACGAGCTGTTCCTCTTTCCTATTACAGAAATACGTTGGCTGTGTGCATATCACTTAGGAATTCAGCCCCCCGTTAGACACATTTTTAGCACCAGTGTGATACTTTCCATAGATAGCCTATACTGCATCCAGGATTCCTCTGCAGGCCATTGCCCATACTTCTGGAACATGATGACTGTATATAAAATATACTTAAGGTCATCAGCCAACTAGGTATTGAGAAGCTCGTGCCTAGTCAATGGCACAGAAATTAAGCCACAAGCACCAAAAAAAAGTCTTATGCTTACTTGAGGTTATGCAACCATACTTCACTGAATTACAGACCAGATCTTTACTTGCTAACGTTTGTTTTAAAAAAATCTCTTTGTACTACCTGAGCTCACAGGACTGTCACTTGTTTCCCCCGATAGTCTTTAGGTGAGAGACACAGAGGGTCAAGCTCTAACAAACGCATTATTCCTGCCCTCTGTGGTCAGCTATTATTTGGGTGGCTGTTCTCTTAGAATTTGTTTTATATAACATTAAAAGAAAAAAAGTTGCTTTAAAAATTAACAAAACACCCTAAACACTAAAAGAACCAAAGCAACCCACCTTCCATTTCTTTTTCAGCTCTTTTGGCTTTTTCTTTGTAAATGTTATCCAACCGTTTTTGCTTCTCCTCCTCCCTCCTCCTTTCAGCCACAGTTCTGGCACGCACATCTTGAAAATCCACCTAAGGAGGAAATGAAGAAAAAAGTGTAACATTCCTCGTAAGAAATATATAGAAAATCCATTTCCTAAGATCCTTATCTGTGGTGAAAAATCCTCTAACATCAGCGATCAGCCAGAAGCTCAGCAGTATTTCCTTTTATCTCTTCTCATCCTAGAATCAATAGCTACAGCAAATCTGAACGGAGTTTTTACTTCTACTAATAAGGGACTGCTGAGAATCAATGGCTTTCAGAAAGGAATCATAAGGTAGAAAAACAAAACGCTTAAATTTCCACATCTGACTTGCAGGAATAAACCAGGCTTTGGGAGACCTCTGTCACAGCACTGAAGTCGTGGGATTAGGGGGAATGGGCGGGAAGAGACTACACAGGGTAAGTAATCAAATTCCATCACACTAGGTCCACTATTAGTAAGGGAAACTTATGAAAATTTGTAAGCACTATTACCACAAATATGCATATCATTCACTGAAGAACTTCGTAAGATGAGAAGACATTCAAACTTTGGATTTAACAATTACATTTGTTGGATCTGGAGACTGAGGGAAAGGTTATCATTCAGTCTCACTTTCTTTGTTTAAAAGTCGTTTAGATGTGGTGCTTGAAGATATGGTTTAGGGGTGTACTTGGTATAGTAGGGTTGATGGTTGGACTTTATGATCTCAAAGGTCTTTTCTAACCTGAATGATTTTATGACTAAAATATAAACATAAATCTGAGTGATTCAAAATGCTTTTTCTCAAAATATTTGCAAAAGGGTTTTGGTTTTGTTTTTTGTGGGTATTTTTTTTTTTAGTTTGTTCTTTGAAGGGCTTGAAAAAGTAAATATTTTTCACTTCTATTTTAAGGAAAGGAGTCTTGACTGTATTATTGCACAAGGAAACCCCTTTGAAAAAGGAAAACAGTATTCCCTTTTGATTGCTACCACATAACTTTCATTAACTTCCATACAGATGACACTGGGTGCTGAGCAAGCCCATACTCTGCTGCCAATAAAGCCCACAGACTCTCTGGTGCTGCCTGTATTACAAGCACCCACTAACGTTAGTCGTTATTGCCACTGCTAGGCGATCAAGCTTGTCAACACACAGTGATGGTTCCCAGGTACTGACATCCTACACCAACGTTTTGGAGCCACACAAGAGTAAAACAGCAAAGTTGAACCTCACTTATGAGGCAGAAGCCCACGCAAGGAGATATACACAGGACAAGTCTCTCTTTCTATCTAGTCCTAGAAGATCTCTCCTATAACATGTACATGGACTTACTAGCCACAGGTCAAGCAAACCACGTACATCCTACAACTGAAGTTTTCCTATTTTTTTGCACAATCAAGAATTTTGTTGGTGTCTCATCTCAAAATTACATACTTTTCATATTTGTTCAGCATTAAGCAAGCAGGTAACTCCATTAAACACTATGGAAGTTAAAAAGCAAATGCTTGAACTTGGGCTTAACCACGTGCTAAAGTAGAGTGTCTTTCTATATAAATGTTGAATAATCCCTACAGTGTGCAACAAGCCTTAAAGGTTTTTACAAGTATTATTTCTGCAAACAGTTTAAAGACAAATTTGTTATATAATATATAAAAGCCTCTAGAAGCAAGAGGATACTCCAGCATTCACAGAAACTGGCATGGAGAGTCTCCATCAGTTTAGGAAAAGAGGCACACCCACCAAGCTCTTTTTTAGTGGGGAATGGGTGGGCAGAAGGAAGGTAGGGAAAAGAACTGGTTTCACAACCCATAGCAACACATAGATCACTAGAGTGAGTATTTTTTGGCTTTCAGGATCTGATTTTTCTACCAAGTTTGCACAGCTCTCCGCACAGTAGCAGAAGAAACAGATTCTCCCAAAGAGCAACATCGCCCACAGAAATGGAACAAAGACACAGCGCCCAGGAACTACAGCTACCATTTCCAGGCAGTCGGATTGGAATTGCACAGAAAATGAGACACAGCCAGAGTTTCCCAGACCACAACTGCTGCTGCATACCAGAAGCGCTACAGGAGAGTCACCTGCCCATTCTTTCCCCTGCTCTGTCCCAAAAGCACCAGCCACGTGCTGCTCCACTGCACTGTTTCATGCTTTGGCACTTGTCCCAGTGCCCCTCTTACATCTGCCAAACCATCATGGTTTGCCACTGATAACAAGCGCGCGGCTCACATACTACATGTCCATCGTTAACCAAGCCTACAGCAAGCACCAAGCTTTGAGGTGCCCAAAACGGGGCACGCTGCCCCCTTGCAGAAGCCTCCCAAGGTCAGAACAACTCAGGGCCTGGGTTACGGACGGGCACGTGGACTCACTTGCTACCTGGGGCCAGCACTAACTCACCACCTTGGTCAGAGCCCACCCAGCCTCGTTTAGGTGACACGGACTGAGAGCAGAGTTGTTCTGCCTCTGTATCGGTGCAGGTTATGTGGAGCCTTTTAGCACTGGTCTGTAACTGTGGGAGTGGAGGTGAGGAGGCACAAACACTTGTTCTTGGTTTAAGAGGTGCAAGTAGTGGGCCCAGATGACTACGGTAACTTTTGGGAAAATACCAAGGTACAGCAGTAAGACACTCCACATTGAGCTGCTCAAAATCCTGTTCACACTGTAACTGCAGCTCACTCTAATTCCACCCATGCATCACTCAAATGCCAAGGCACTACAGTACAACTCAGCTGCCTAAATATGCAAACATTTGGAAACGCCTGAAATCTTTTTTCTTCCCCTTTTCTTTTTTTTTTAACTTTGAGACAGGAGTTTGAAAACATTTACTTGCAGATATACTGAAATATTATTTGTTCTTGAAGTCAAACACTTATATAGGTACCCACTTATACCTACTAACATTAAAACAGCGGGTAGCTCTCCAGGTTTACACCCTAAAAGGGCAGCAGTTGCCATCTTCTGACTAACTGTCTATAAGGTGATATGAAGATGATAAAAAAAGTCAAAACCACCACTACAAACTACACACACAGCTAACACTCCTCTCAAGTGGCCCGACACTACTGTGCAAAACCTGTAACAGAGAACAGCAGATGTACTTTACTACTAGAGAGTACAAAGACCTCCTCAAATTTTCTGGTTGTTTCCCCATGCTCAAGTATTAAGCTGGCAACAGGCCAGTTGAGTCAGTTGGCTCATCTCCACTCTAAGTACAAGAGTTGTCAAACTACGTAAGACTGTTTCTATTGGTATTAATGTTTCTAGAAGTATCCAAATTCAGCTGCCCTAGAAAACAGCACAGCCCACCTTGCTGAGTAGCTTAGTATCACAAACGTACAAAAAGCGATCGCCCAGTTGTAACTGGGGAGCAGCCATTAACCACAGGGGCACAGACAGACATGCCAAACTTCAGCAGACTTGTTGCACGCTTGCGTGTTCCATCTGGTAAAACTGTATCGTGTGGTAAAGCTCCTTGTCTCAGCCTTGGCACTTCTCCTTGTCACTTTCACTTACTTTTCTTTCTTCGTCAAACAAGAGAATAAAGGAGCATTCAATGACAATCACCTTTTGTGAGCAGATGCCAAAAACTGGATAGAACAACACTGTACAATAAATAATACAAGTAGGGTACACCGTTAGCTGAGTACAGATCAGAACAACAGAAATACATTGGGTATCACAAAGGTTTTTGATCTACTGGCATGAACACTGAACATCTGTCTTTCTGAAGAGAAAGAGAATCAATATGTTTATTGAAATCCTGGTATTATCATTGTAGACAGTGTAAATGCTACAATAGCGTTCCCAATTTCATTGTCTGATCCTCAGAAGAGATACTAAAGCAGACGAATGTTTCAAACATCATAACTTGAGGCCTAGAAGGGAGATCTAAAAGCAAATGTTTACACACAAGAAGTTTTACTAAAGAGAAATTTCTTGTATGACACACTAACACTGCAGCTGAGACACTGTCTCTTTTGTACAGCAAAAGGACACTAGAACTGGACAGCTCAGTACAGAAGTCAGGCTAGCTTAAACTGGCACAGAAAGACTTAAGAGACTCTAATAACCATTATTTCCCTTCTTAAAAAACGCCAGACTTTGGGGCTCCAGGTAGGCATCAGTGGGTGAAAGCTTATTGGTGAGCAATACTTCTCGCACCCTGAGAAAAGGCTAGTCGAGCCCAGCTCTGAGTACAAGCCTGGGGCTTTTTAAAACTTCACAATACTCCAAGATGAACAAAAAGTTCAGGTTTGGTTTTTGTTTGGGGTTTTGGATTTTGGGGTGTTTTTTTTGTGGTTTTTTTTTTTTAAAAAAAAAAGACCATGCTCAACAGGATGTCTCCTAAAGAAAATGTCATTTCTAGCAGCTTTCCTTTAATATTTATTGGTGTCTTTACTTTAAACATCACCTAAAAACACACACAGAAGCAAAAACGCAGAGTACCTTCTTATTCTGCTTTAGGAAGTTGTATCCCAGAGAAAGTTTCTTGTAGGCCTCTCCGTACTTCTCATGCCAGTCTTGCACTGACTTAATGGCTGCTTTCCTCAGTTTCTGTGCCACCTCTTTGGGTGGGGGAAGAGGCTGGTCATGGTCTATCCCCACCGTGAGCTCCAAGAACTCTTGGAAGTTGGAAATAATTAGCGTCCGGAATTGATGGGATCGGTCAAACAACTCCTGCACGATCTGGAAAGCCGAGAAGCGCATCTCGGCGTGCTCCTCGTTGAGCCGCGTCATCAGCAGGTGATAGGCATGGCCAAGATGCTCCTCTGAAGACCTGAGAGAGGAGAAAAGGGGGGAAAAGAAAGGAGTGGGAGTTATTTAAAAAGAAGTTTAGCACATAAAAACATAACCTTTTAAAAATTCCTTTTAAATTTTAAACCAGCAGCTTCTGTGCTGGCAGCAGGCGGCACCCAGCTCTAACAGCAGGCCCCAG